TACCATGCCCCAGTGACTGGGATGTGGAAGTAGCTGCATTTTATGACTGTGTGTGGTCAATGCGAGGTCTGCATGCTGAGCATTTAAGGGATGAGAACCCAGGGAGAGGCAGGTCCAGAGGAGGGAGACCGGGTTGGCTTACCAGGCCCCTTCCCTCTTCTCTGCCACTGCTCTGAGCTCACTGCAGGCTAGGGAATCCCTGCTGTGACACAGAAAACCACTCTGTTCATTTTAGTTTTGAAACATTTTTAGTTGTGTGTGTGTGTGTGTGTGTGTGTGTGTGTGTGTGTGTGTGTCTTACATAACTTAGACTTTGGCAAATCATCCTCACACATTCCCACTTCCCCATGAGAGAATGGATTGGGCATCCAGGGCCTCGAGGCTGGAGGAATGACAGAAGGAAGCGCTCCTGCCTGCTCTATGATTTCTAAAAATGTAAGCCTGCTTACAATTTATCACGTAGCTTAGAAATATCAGAAACGGTCCTCTTTAATGACTGACCTGACTCTAACCTAAACTGCTACAATGTCAAACCATGTTGAGTTACAACTGTGCCCACTTCTCACTGACCCTAGAGTCTGCAGGGTCACCACCAGACTTAATACAGGTGGAATTCCTAACTTGCGGAGACTACATACTAGTTGGAGGGGAAGAAAAAGACAACGAACATCTGTAAGTTTTCTGGTAGGTTACCCGGCAACAAACAAACACTATGAAGAATATAGCAGTATATGGAGGACTGAGATTACAGGCAGAGAATAGCAGGGCTTTCAATATAAACAGTGGACAGGGTAAGCCTCACCAGGAAGGTGGGACTTGAACCATCTAGAAGGAGGTGACTGAACCAGGTATCTGAGGGAAAAGCATTCTATAGAATGGGATAAATTACTGAAAAAGCCCAGAGGAAGGATACTTGTGGTCTTCAGGGGGCAGTTAGTCAACAGATGTGGCTAGAATACAGTCAGCAAGTGGTAAGGAGGGAAAAGAGGACTGAGGAGAGAGAGATGGGTTCAAGTCCCTGCACCACCATTTATTGGTTTCCTAATCACACGCAGTTGACTCGAGCATGCAAGTGTCTCAATGAACCCAGTGCTGTCTCTACAGCCCAGTTATCTTGCAAGATTTTTTGAAACATAATGTAGGGAAGTGACATACAAGCCATGTTGTTAACTTTTCTGTACACATAAGGATAGATGGGTAGAAAAAAAGATGATAGATAGATTATAGATAGATAGCCATGTTCTTAACTATTATGTACATAAGGATAGACAGACAAAAAGATGATGGATAGATAGATAGATAGATAGATAGATAGATAGATAGATAGATAGATGATAGATATAGATAGATAGATAGATAGATAGATAGATAGATAGATAGATAGATAGATAGATAGATAGATAGACAGACAGACAGATAGATAGAAAAGTGATAGACACAGGAGAGATTAGATAGGATAGATGATAGATATAGATTAGATAGGTTAGATTAGATAGATGATAGATACATAGATGCCAGGTGACTGATTGATAGACAGACGATAGATGATACATGACAGATTGGATAGATTATGTAGACAGAAAGATGACAGATACAGATTAGATAGATAGGATAGATGATAGATTAGATAGATGATGGTAGGTACATAGACACATACAGATTAGATAGATAGGATACATACATGCATGATACATTAGATAGATTAGAGACATAGGTAGATGATAGATGACTAGATAGACAGGTGATAGATGATAGATTAGATAGATGAGATTAGATATAAATAGATAGAATGAAGAGATAGATAGATAGATAGATAGATAGATAGATAGATAGATAGATAGATAGATAGATAGATATAGAGTTATGGACTGTATTTTTGGGCCCTCACCTCACCATCTCCCACTCCTCCTAACCCACTCCCACCACACACATATAAATTCATATTTGTATCGAGTCAGGGTTGAAGCCCTAACCCCCACTGTCACGGTATTGGGAGGTGGGGCCTTTGGGAGGTAATTAGGTTCGGAAGAAATCATGAGGGTGTGGGTAGAGCTGCCATTACACAATTCAGTGCTATTAAGAGGAAGAGAGGACAGAGCTTTCGCCCTCGACCCTGTGAGGACACAGCAGGAATGTGGCCGTCTGCAAGCCAGAAGAAGGGACCTCACCAGGAACAGAATCAGCCTTGCTCTTGGACTTCTGCCTCCAGAACAGTGAAAAATCAGTGTCTATGGATTAAGCCCTCACTTTATGACAGTTTGGTTATCAGCTTGAGTAGACTAACATAGATATGTAGGTAAACAGATACGCACTTAGACGACATACGGAGAGAGCCTACGCATAGATATTTGTGCTTACGTGTTTGCATAGGTATCTGCATCCATCCGTCTCTGCACTTTGAAGTTCACTTCCTATGAGGGGAACGCCAGGAGCACAACTTATGCACGTTTTTTTCTTAAAGTGTGGGCTGCAGTTTCCGATACCTGGGGTCTCCGTTAAGTCTGTCTTGTTTGGGAAACAGGGACCACAGGGACACACTGTCGCTGACACCTGAGGAAGGGAGGCCATGAGCAGGGCACCCGGAGGGACCTGTGCAGCAGGGAAGAGCCTCTCTGGGCACCCTCCTGCAGGACCTCTCCCCCAGCCACCTCCTACTGCTCCATGTCTTTGAACAAACCTCAACCAGGCCCCTTCACAAAGCACAACGGGTGCTCACGGAAGCTGAGGGATGAATGGAGCTTCAGCTGGGTGTGTGTGTTTGTGGGGGGGTGAGGGGTGAGAGGGGTTCAGAGTGGGTGTGTGTGTGTGTGTGTGTGTGTGTGTGTACCACTGCCCCTATCGGTCCAAAAGAAACAGACAAATGCGTGATAGGGCAAACAACTTGCAAACAGTGACCAGAAAGAGTGAACTTTTCCACTAGCCTCTGGGGATATCCTTGCCAAGTGTTTCTATGCAATTTTAGAAAGATTTTGCTGGAAATGTCGCTGGAACCACTCTGAACCATCAAGTTAGTTAAGGTAATAAGGTAATAAGCCAGGACAGGAGAGCAGCAAAGAGCTGCCCACATGCCCACAGTGTGTCTCCTATGTATCAAGCCAAGGGGTACAGGCTTTACTTTTACTACCTCACTTCATCTCACCATGACTGACATGGGATGACCTTACGCACCACCGTCATACATGAGTAAAAAGTTACTTCAGAATCACTTCCCTTAACAGAATATAAATAAATGTGAGGACATAAACATTCCTAGAATTCCTGCCACCACCACCCAACCCTTTATGCTCAGCACCCTTTTCATACGAACAGAAACATAGCTCTAAATGCTACTATTCCATTTCAGATAGACCTCACTCACATCTAAATGCCTAAATGCACTGAAACTCCACCTCCACCTTGACAGCAGAGGGGAGCAGTTTCCCCACAAGCTAGCTGGCCTGCCACCTCAGCAAGCCCATGGGACACTAGCCCACACCAGCCCCGCGTGTCCCCAAAAAGGTGGCTCACTTAACCTGTGACTACACATGCTCTCTGGAGATGGGCAGACAGCCAAGCAGGGCCACCAAGGTGACATCAGTGCACAGGAACAAAGACCTACTACTGGGCATGCACCTGCCTCAGCCCCAGCAGGCCAGCTGGGGAGCTCCCTGTGTAGGGCCTCGGATCTGCCCTGCAGCTCATGTAGCTGCCCCGGCAGGGCCAGCCCCAGGGCAGAGCGCCCAGAGGGCCCCAAGCCACACTGGTTACAGAGTCCAGCCGGCCATCTACACCCAGTGGACTTGTGCCACCTACCCAGATGTTTTAACCCATAGCCACTCCTATCAAGACCCAAAGACACAGCTAACTCGCAGAAACAAACACAAGGAATCAAGAATGAGAAGGAGACAGAGGAATGACTGTGCACCTAGTCACAGTACGTTGAGAAAAATGGACAAAATAAATAAATAGATACATTAGATAGATGGATAGATTAGATTAGATTGATAGATTCATGGAGATGATAGATAAGATAGATACAAAGATAGAATGATAGATTAGATAGATGATATAGATACATATAGAGAGATTAGCCAGATTAGACAGACAGATTAGATAGATGATAGATTAGGTGGACAGATTAGACAGACACCTACAGATACATATAGATAGATGATAGGTAGATAGATTGATAAGATGATAGATACATTAGATAGACACATTGATATAGATACATACAGATGATAGATAATAGACGGATAGGTGATAGATTAGTTTGGATAGACACATAGATGATAGCTGAGAGATAAATAGATGATAGATAGATAGATAGATAGATAGATAGATAGATAGATAGATACACAGATAGATAGATAGATGGATAGACAGACAGGAAAGCATAATACTAAACAATGCTATAGCTCATAACCAGGAGAGCAACGATGAAAGCACAGACAAGAACTACAAACAAAAAGAAGAAAGAAATCAAGTTTAGGAAGTGCACTAAGGACACAGCTATCAATTATCACACTAAAGGGAAAGACTTTAAATGCTCCAATCAATGGATGAATGGATGAAAACCCAAGACCACCTACGTGCTCCCTTACAGGAGGCTCACTTGAGATCCAAGCACACAAACTACAAGTTGAAGGGGTAGGAAAAGATACCCTACACAAGTGAAACTGAAAAAGAAAAAAAAGTTAAAGATGGCTTGGTGGGATTAAAGATGGCAGCGTGAGAGGGGAGGCAGAAAGCTCCAAAAACCACATACATACGTACAATATGGAAATATAACAACTACATCAGATCCTGGAAGAGAAGCAGGAAAGAAGGCTGTGGCGGCAGGCCATCACCTCAAGGTGAAGGGTGATGTACCAAAGCCGTGATCCAGAGGAACCCGGCAGGCCCTTCCCGAACCCAAGCTCACCAGAGGGAGGAAGAGAAACGGAACTGGGGAGGTGGGTGGAGGCCTAGGACTGCTGAACACCTAGACCTGGAGATCTGCTCTGGGAGCATGAACCTACCTTACATGGTGCTCTGGAGGATCGGTGGGGTAGGAAAGCAAAGACAGGTGGAGTACTTGGAGAGACTTGAGATTCCTGCCACTTACGGAACACAGGGATCCACATCTGGCTGCTGTGGGATGAAAGAAAGGTGGGCAGTCTGAGAGACTTCCTAACAGCGAGAGAGCTGCTAAAGGGGCAAGGGTTGCACAGAGCTTGACACTCAGGAAAAAGCACAGGTGCACAAAATTTTCTGGGTCCCTCTGCCCAGCAGGTGGGGGAACTTTTAGGAGCTCCGGGCGCTCCATCCCCCTGGCTGTCTTCACAGCTCCGAGACCCCCCACCGTGATGTGACAATACACAACACAGCCTGCTGCACCTTCCTCCCTGCTGGCACCGGCTCACAAACCGGCTGCCCTCTCCATTGCGCCAGGCCAGCGACAGGATGGCCCCACGTATGGAAGCTACAGGTGCAAAGCACAGAGGTTTCTCCCTGCATGCTCTGCAAACTGGCCCTGGCAGTGGAGACAGGCACTGCGGCCAGGAGGCAGGAAAGACCTCTTTCCTCCTGCAGGCACCAGTGCTGCTCCTGTGACCCCTGCCTGCCATCACCCCAAGGGCTGAGCAGCTCCAGAGAGAAAAGCTTCTGGGCGCTAGAGCATGCCACCTACAAATATGAAACGTCAAAGTCAAAGGAACCTGGTAACTGGACTCAATTAATCTTCGTGAAAGGGATCTCAACATAAAAATCAGAAACACGCTCATGGAGCTACAGCCAAAAACTGTCCCTGTCTCTTGAGCATAATTCTCTTTCTCTCTCTCTCTACCAGGAGCACTTTTGAGGTCTTGTTCTGAGAGGGATGCTGGGACAGCCCAGCAGCAACAGGCAGAGCTCTCAGATCCACCCCGGATGGTGCCAGGGAAGTCCCACACAAGGTCTGACCGAACTGCAATGGGGGGATTCTACACGTGTAACTCCACAGGAAATAACAGTGCCACATGCTAGCCTTCCCATTAACGGCTAGTGGCTAGGTGGCTCCACCGATACCAGGTGATGTCAACATCCCGGTCTTATCTCCGTGGCAACCTTTTTCCCCTATGAACCTTGAAAGCAGCAAATGGAAAGAAACTACCAATCTCCACCATCTCACTTCTCAGTTTAGGCTCGATGTTCCTGTATCACATCTTCTCTTCGTTTCAGTTTTCTCGGCGGGTTGGTGTCCTGAAAAAAAAAAAAAAAATTGAATCAGAAATGGAATGAAATGGCAGGGGGTATAAGATTCTGTTTAAAACACCATCAGTAGAACAAAGACATCCTACAGTATGGGAGAATGATATTCATAGATGGCATATCCGATAAGGGGTTGACATCTAAAATACGTATTAAGTGTTCATGCACTTCCACACACAAAAAGCAAATAATCCCAATCACAAAATGGGCAGAGGAGCTGAACAGACACTTCTCCAAAGAAGAAATTCAGGTGGCCAACAGGCACATGAAAAGATGCTCCACATCGCTTATCATCACAGAAACGCAAACTAATACCACCATGAGATATCACCTCACACAAGTCAGGATGGCCACCACCCAGAAGACACACAACAGATGATGGCAAGGATGTGGAGAAAGGGAAACCCTCTGACACTACTGGTGGGAATGTAAATCAGTTCAACCATTGTGGAAAGCAGTATGGAGGTTCCTCAAAAAACAAAAAAGTAAAAATTCCATTTGACCCAGGAATTCCACTTCTAGGAATTTACCCTAAGAATGCAGGAGATCCCAGTTTGAAAAAGACATATGAACCCCTATGTTTATCACCGAACTATGTACAATAGCCAAGAAATGGAAGCAACTTAAGTGTCCATCAGTGGATAAATGGATAAAGAAGAGGTGGTACATATACACAATGGAATATTATTCAGCCATAAGAAGAAAACAAATCCTACCATTTGCAACAACATGGATGGAGCTAGAGGGTATTATGCTCAGTGAAATGAGCAGGATGGAGAAAGACAAGTATCAAATGATTTCACTCATCTGTGGAGTATAAGAACAAAGCAAAAACTGAAGGAACAAAACAGCAGCAGACTCACAGAACCCAAGAGTGGACTAACAGTTACCAAAAGGAAAAGGACTGGGGTAGGGGGAAAAGGGGGCATTACGATTAGCACACATAATGTGTGGGGTTAGGGGGCGGCACAGGGAAGGCAGTACAACACAAATTAGCCAAGTAGTGCTTCTACTGCATCTTACTGCGCTGATGAACAGTGACTGTAATAGGGTATGGGGTGGGGACTTCTAATGTGGGAGGAGTCTAGTAACCATAATATTGCTCATGTAATTGTGCATTAATGATACCAAAAAGGAAAAAAAATCATGAGCTATCACCTCACACCAGTCTGAATGGGTAGCACCAAAAAACAAGAAATAACAAGCACTGATGAGGATGTGGAGAAAAGAGAAGCCTCATACACTGTTGGTGGCCATGTAAATTGGTGCAGCTACTATGGAAAACAGTGTGGAGGTGCCTAAAGATATTAACAGCAGTATCATATGACCCAGCGTGCTTTTTCGTACACAGCAGTGTAACTCCTTTCAGGATTCCGGACCTGTTTCCAATGCATACAACACCAAGCAATTCTCAAACACCAGCAGGGTGTCTGAGAACTCAATTTTGAGGCTATCTGCCAGGAGACAGCCCCACATTCCCCAGGGTAAGGGTTCTGTCCTCAAGACTGCCCTCCACCCCAGCTCCAGAGTCTGGTTGCAAGCCCCATGCAGTTAGCCTGTGTTTCCCACCTACAGGCTAAGACTGGAGGTTCCAACGACCTCCCCCTTAGGTCTGACCAATTTGCTAGAGTGGCTCAGCTCAGGACAACATTCACGGTTACCAGTTTAACAAAGAGTACCATAAGGCACACAACAGCCAGATGAACACACACATATGGCAAGGTCCCAAATAAAGGAGCTTCTATCCTCCCAGAGCTTGCGGTCTGGCATGGTGGCATGTGCAGGCAACCTGGTTCTCCAAGCATGGAAGCTCTGACAGAGAAGCAGATGAGAGAGAGATGTGCTCTTCTCATAGGGTTTTGTGAGGGCTTCACTGTAGTCATGACTGACTAAATCACTGGCCATTGCTGATTCAACCTCCAGCCCTTCATCCCTTTTCTCTTCCCTAGGGCCTGGGGGCTGAGAGTTCCCACCCTCTAACCACAAGCTTGGTGCCCCTGGCAACCAGCCTCTACCATCAAAGCATCTGCATTAACCTAACAAGACACCCATTGGACAGTTATGGCTCAGAAGGATTTTTAGGAACTGTGGATAAGGAGCAAAAATACCTAGGAAATATATTTTGGTCTTCTGAATTACCAAATATTTCCTTCTTACCAACCATTATATCACAACAGGTGTCCCCACATACCCATAATGCCTGCAGGGACCTCTCTCTCCCCAAGAGGAGGCACAGAGCTCCCCATTTCCACCATAATTTCCTTGCTACTCATGACATTGATCTGCACCAAAGATGATCCCTTTCAGGAGGATAAAGTCAAAGCTTCTGGCATATGTCAAGGCCAAGGAGGCCCTCCTCCCCAGGGACATGGGGCAGAGAGATGGGAGAAAGGGCTTCAGGAGTCTGTTTTCCTGTCAGCTGCTCTCCACTCCCCCAGTCTCAGCTGTCACCTCACCACCCATCCTGACGCACAGAGGCCTGCAAAGAACAAAATCCTGGAGTAAGAGCAGCCGAACAGGTGCCGTGTGTGCTCAGCTTTGCAATGCAAGGGGCTCCTCTCCTCTCAGGGTTCAGATTGGAAAAACCCAACAGGGAAGAGGAGGTGGCCCAGCGACTCCCGGTCGCCACATCGAATGGGGCAGTGCAAGCTCCACTTCTGCTGGAGATGCTTCCTGGCTGTCTGAGCACTTGCAAGGCAGCATGATAGGGTGTAGTTAGGGGGGAAATTTCCCAAACCTAGAATTTTAATTTCCTGAGTATGAGTAGACTTTCTGCTCCTCTGACTACACTGGAGCACAAAGAATGTCTAAGCAGCAGATCCTACTTCTGAGTGACAGCACTCACGTTACCTGTTCACTGCTGCCTCTGGTGACCATGAGAACTAGCTGGATGTTACTAGGAAGTTTTGACTTTCAAACAAAAGTGTAGAAGTTTTTGAGACACCTTCTCAATCCACTCTGCATTCACAGTGAGAGCAGGGAAATGGCACAAGGGTCATGCCACTGTAAAATATACTCAGCCTGAAAAAAGCCTACCTTATATTTTAACTTCATCTACATGCTGTTCTGCTTCTTCCAGCCCCTCTATCGATTAAGGAACTTTGTAACCAGAATGGGAGATAGACCTCCGAAGTGTAAGTGAACCTAGGGGAATAAAAAATGCTGACATCTGGATCAACACAGTCCCCTGAATAACCCTACTCTTAAGATAAAACTTCAAAGGAATTAGGAATCACCTGTATGAAGCATGCCTTATGCCCACAGCTACCCAAAAGGCCATATAACCATGCCTCCTCTCTCAAGTCACCTGCACTCCTCTCTGGGTGTGTACTGTCTGACAGTAAATGAACCTTCTTCTTGCATGAGCCAACTGGACTCGTCTCTGACCTCTTTACTCTAATAAAGACAAAAACTCTCTGACCTCCACCTCCAGAGGTAAATGTCTCTGTCACTTTGCTACTTCATTCATCTTTCTAGTCTTACAATCCTTTTCTCTCTCCCTGTTTTATTTAAGGCCAGTGGGGAAGCAGTAGTTCTTAGAACATTATCTCACTCCATCCAGTGCTCCATGACTCCCCAAATTCTGGGCTTGTAGGATATAATTCTCACCCCATGCAGATCAAGTGGACAATGGATACCAGGTGACCCTGGCTTCAGGAGTTGCCAAAGCATATGCCCTGGGCCAAGCAGCAATTCAATGAACTTTATTTCCCTCCCTCTGCTTTACCTCGCTCTCTACTGCCTTCACAGCTGTTGACATTCGCTTCTACTCTTGCTGTAATAAATTCCTTTCTTCCTGGCACACATTTGACCTGGTCGAGAATTCTTTCCCTATCAGAGACAAGAATTGTCCCCAGTCTGGGCTGAGGTTTCACCTAGTACCCAGGGACAGACCTGCCCAGCAACACCGGCATTCAGCCGCTGCTGTACAGGAGAGGGACCCACATGGGCTGAGTCAATACCCACAGGCACGTTCCTGGAAAAGCAAGTGAGGCCAGGCTTCCACTCCTAACCCAAGGCCTTGGGCTCCTGAATTCTCTCCAATTCCCCTTTCCCGTCCCTGGGCAGTGTCTGCCACTGCCACATCCTCTACAGCACTGAAGTCCATCTTGCTCTCTCCAGGTCTTCCCCAGGACTTGAAATTAATTAATTAAAAAATTCAATCCACGAGCTATAGAGGCAGCAACAAAATATTTCCTAGTACAAGCCACTGCACCTATAGTACTAATGTTAGCCATCACTATCAATCTCTTATTCTCTGGACAATGGGCTATTACAAAAATATATGATACCATGGCATCTATCAACATTACCACAGCCACAGCTGTAAAATTGGGAATAGCCCCATTCCACTTCTGAGTTCCAGAGGTAGCACAAGGAACCCTGCTGTCATAGGCCATACTACTACTAACCCGACAAAAAATCCCACCCATCTCAGTTCTATGTTAAATTTCACCCACAGTTAACATAAAATACCTATAGCAACACTCCCACTTTTAACTGGAGGCTCAGCGCATCCTAAACCAAACACAATTACAAAGAATTACAGCTTACTCCTTAATTGCTCACATAGGTTGAATAATAATAATCATAACAGATAACCCAACTATTACTCTTCTAAATCTCCTAATTTATCTTATAATGACCCTATCAATATTCATAATGCTAGTATACAACTCATTGACAACAACCCTTATTTTTGTCTCACCTATCAAATAACACACTGCTAATTACAACCATTATGCTCACAATTCTACTATCACTTGGAGGCCTTGCACCATTATATCCGGATTTTTACCTAAATGAATGATCATTCAAGAAGTTACCAAAAATAACATAATAATATAACCAACAATAATAGCAGTGATAGCTCTACTAAACATATTTTATATGTACTAACTTACTCAACATTAACAATATTCCCAATAACCAACAACATAAAGTGACAATTTGAAACTACAAAACACATAAAATT